TGACTTGAATGCATAAAGCAGAGCAAATGTCGCTACTACATTAAGATAAAGTGTTGTACATATATTAAAACTTTATTTAAGAATGGTCCAGAAACGATGACTCTCATCTCTAGTTTCCTTGGTCTGTCATCCGACCTCACTTTCTTGCAAGCTGTCTATGATGAATGTTCCTTTGAAAAAACGCAAAAGCTAAGGAAGGGCACGGTTAATGAATTTATTTACAGAAAAGGTAAAACGATTGATAGATTAGTAAATTAATGCTTTGCAATTTTACGAAAATCAGACTTAAATCATAAAACGGTGAACATTTATCACTTCTTTTATTAATGTATTTTAAGCTACTAATGTATATGAATTATCGGATCGAATTACTAGTTAACAAGTCGATTCCTATAATTGCTGCATATAACTCGTAGGATATGAAGGTGAAAATACTTCATTGATATAAATATTATCAGATACAGTGTAAATTGATTAATGATCTGGTCTTACTTTCTGTTCGCGAAATTTGTAGAAAAGTGTAATAAAGAATAAATTGTAATAAAAATACAATTTCTATTTTTAAAAAAATCATAATTAATAGCTGTTAATCTACCCTGTTAAATTAAGTGAATTTAGTAGAAATAAGTTTTTAAATTATTTTTTATCATTTTAATTTCTTTATTCAAAAGTTAAAATCTGGAGTTGTAAATGACAAATGTATTTGTGAAAATTTTGTCCCAGCTTTCTTTGTGTTTGAAAAAGTAGAAAGTAAAAAAAAACCAAACAATATCTTTGCGACCTGAAGTAAAATAACTTCTTTTGTATATTTTTCTTTTTCTTTCCACAGGTATAGTGGGTGATTGGAAATCATTTTTTACTGTCGCTCAAAGAGAGAAATTTGATTTCATTTTCAAGAAGAACATGAAAGATTCGAAGTTAAAAATACAATTAAGATTATTCCGTGAAAATTTAAACAAGTTTTGTATTCTTTTTGGTTGTACCGATTTTAAAAATCAAATAATAAGTTGGTAAAAATTGTCTGTGAAATTCATAGCATACATGTACATGGTACTGAAAATGTATATATATATATATATATATATATATATATATATATATATATATATATATATATATATATATATATATATATATATATATATATATATCAGAAGTCCATGAAATCACAGTGGTCAGTATAGTTATATAGTAAAAATAATTAAAAAGAAAACACGAAGACAACAAAGTAAAGCATTAGCGCTTTCATTTAAAAATCTTCAGATGCTTTACAATCAAGTTTTTTAACTGTCACATAGTAACGCCTTCTATGACGTCATAATTAGCGGAACGTAATACAGTCTCTATGACATAATTCTCCCAGCAGTTACCGTATAGCGGGTTATTTTAGCGGGGTGCTAATTTTGGCTTATTTTGGCGTTTTGGGGGCGGTCCGCTAAAATTTTAATCGCTAAAATAGTGAGTCAATAGTTAACTTATTCTTAGTGTTAATCGGTAAAGAGATGAAACATTGTGTCCGCTAAAATAAATTACGCCAAAATTATTGGGGTACCTTTCAGCAGGCAAAACGCCAAATTTTACACCCGCCAAAAAAACCCGCTATACGGTATTACGGGAAAGTCAAACAATGCTATTTAGCTTTGGTTTTAAGGTAGTAATAAAGTGTTTTTCTTTTTCTCTTCGTTGGATTTGGTTTCCAGACATCTTATAGAACGGGAAAACGGTAAATTGTCTCCTCCCACATATATCTAAATGTTCACTAAGCTTAATTTGTCTGTATTGCGGGTTATTAATATGCTGTTTATGGACTCTTATCCGAGCTCTAAGAGTAGTACTAGTTTCTCCGATGTAAAATTCGTTACAACCCGGGCATGTTATGACATAAATTAGGTTCTTAGTTTCACAGGACATGTCAGCATTTACAGTGAAATTTCGGCTCCGGAAGTTGTAGCTGGTTCCCTCCAAAATATAGTCGCAGGTACCGCATCTCGGGTCATTGCATTTAGTTACGGAACTATTCTTTTCTTTGAAACTGGATGTGCACAGAATTCTTTTTAAATTTTTAGCCTGGCGTTTGCTATTTATAAATTGAACATTTCGGTAAATTGCGTTTGTGTTCTCATCCTCCTTTAGTATCAGGTTTAATTGTTTTACCACTGATGTTAGGTTTTGGTTTCGTGGATTGTGGGTATGAACAAAAGGTATAATTTGTTTTTCTTCCCGATTGTCACGTGTCGTAAGGAGTTGTGTTCTTGAATAAGACTTAGCTTTTTTTATTCCATCATCCACCAGTCGTGTAGGGTATTTGCGTTTCACAAGAAAGGATTTTAATTCCTCTAGTCGTAAATCCCTTGTGCTTTCCTCACTTACTATGGTGCAAACTCTTCTTGCCAGATTATAGGGTATCGCTCTTTTAGTATGGCTTGGATGACATGAGCCGAAGTATAAATACTGATGTGTATCGGTGGCTTTGTAGTATATATCAGTAGTTATCCTTGTGTTCTTTTTCTCCACTAACACATCAAGAAATGGTAATTTTTCTTCATTCATCTCTAAAAATGAATTGAATATTGGAGTTTAACCCGTTAAGTATTTTGTGAAATTGCGTTAATTTCTCCATGTCGCTGTGCCAAATAATGAAGCAATCGTCCAGAAATCTTTTCCAGTTTGTTTCTATCAAATCAGCAAATTCTTCTCCCCATACTTTAATAAGTTCACTTTTAAGTAAAGTTTCCAGGTAGCCTAAAGTTAGGGTTGCATACGTTGGCGCTACCTTGGTACCCATTGTCGTGCCTTTGGTTTGGATGTAATGGTTTTCGGCAAATGCAAAAGTATTGTTATTAAGTACTAATTTCAATCCTTCCAAAATAAAATCATGTTGAAATCTGTTGTTGATCATATTCGGGTATTTTTCCATCCAAAACTTTACAGCATGAATTCCTAAATCTGTCGGTATATTTGTGTATAAGCTCACAACATCAAAGGTAACCAGTTTTGCATCTTTGTTGACATTACTGGGGAGGTGGTTTAGAAAGTCGAGATCATCTCTAACATAGCTAGTTACCTTTTTACAGAGAGGTTTCAAGAGAATGTCACAGTTGTAATTAAATTATAATTATTATTAAATATTTACTTTGATGCTTTGCGCAATATTTTGTGCGTATTCCAATTGGCGCGCATAGCCAATCGAATACAACCGGTTTTGCAGGTATGTGAGAGCCATGTGCGAGTGTTTTGTTTTGTACAGGTGAATTTCTATTTTTAGCATTTCCTTTACGTATGACTGACCAGTGACCTACCATGGACCAATGGATTTCGTTATACTAATTAATATGCATGTTTTATTAACCCGTGCACTATATAAAGTAAGAAACCCGCCAAATCCCCACCCCAAGCTCTACAGCCTTTACGGCAGCAGATCATATAGATTCTATCACAGATCGATTCAATCGATGTACAGCATATAATTATATTTTCTTATTTGATACTGGATGCCTGGTAAGATGTTCATTTATCTTGTAATTCATTTACTTGTTTAATTTATGTAACGATCTACCGGCAGTCGTTTGAACATCTTATTGAATTATTACTTTTCGTAAATGTTGAAATGTCTTTATGTTTCGTGTTTGTCTATGTGTACTGTTTTGTATGAGTGTTGTGAGAGTGTTTTTCTATGTTTCTAGGTTTCTTTTTTGTTATCCACAATAAAACATCATATAAAACCGAATCCAGCGTTTTTCTGAAACGATTGACCCTGTGACATATGGCGCCCACGTATGTGTTGATGTTACTGTGAGGGAAACCAGGATCCAGATTCCAGTTCCTGGGACAAGGCCGAAACGCCAGTGCCGCTGTGACGACCAACGCCCAGATTCCAGATAGTAGGCCTACATATAAATCTACATCTACATTTATATCAGGACGTACACTCTACATGACAAGTGAGTTCTGTTCATGATATACTCAGTACGAGCTTCGAGTCCGTACGGAATATGTTTAAATTCAGTGCACTAACTTAACATTACGCTAGCTACTAGTAGTAACATTTTCTGAACCTGCTGTCTACCTGAGTTCATTTCAGGACAGGTGTCCACTGTCCAGTGATCCGTGAATTTACTGACATCTGTTGTGTTCGAGAAAAAGAATTCGCGCAACGTTGTGAAACTACCGCGGTGTAACCATGCAATTCAGTGATCAGTGAAAAATAAAAATCCATCCAGATATATCTGTGCTATTAATTATTTTCATGTTCTGTGTCTTTCTGTTGTTGTATTGTATTGTATATGTGTGTGTATTATTTCATGTTCAATGTATGGTGTGTGAGGTTGCCGGCTTTGTGAATGCTGTGTGCAAGGTGCGTGTTACTCATGTGTAAAAAGATCGGGCTCGATATTCAGATTTTCATTTGTTTTGCTTTTGAACTTCCGGAGGTGTAGAAAAACGTGTTTGTCAAATGTTTTACACGGTTTCATAGACTCTTCGCTGTCAAACGCGTCTGTTCAATAAGGTGAACAATTTTTCTGTGTATGTTGAATGTCTGTGATGTATTTTTGTTGACTGTCAATGTTTATTTTTGTCTGTCAATGTCATTGTCTGTTGAACATTTTGTTGATGCGTGTCGTAGTTTATAGTAGCTGAAAATTTCCCTGCGCGCGATCACTTTCTCAATTGCAGAGTTACTAACCAAAGCACAGGACTTCAAGGCAACAGGACTGTTGGACAAAGCAGACAGGTACATTTGTGTATATTTTTTTCTTCAGTTTATTGTGTATATAGTTGTGTTTGTACAGAATATTTGAATGAGTGATTGCTTGTGTGTTGACATTTGCGCATTGCGATAAGTTAATCTTTGCTTGCGATTTGGTATCAGTTAATCATTTTCAAATCAATATGGCAACTGGTGTTGATGGAGACAAGGGTAAGAAGGACTTACAAGAAGATATTGATGAAAACAAGGGTAAGAAAGACTTGCAAGAAATTATAGAGCAAATCAATGCAGAAGAGCATTACAGGGTTATAACAAAAGAGGAGTATGACCTGTTGAAAGGGCAGAAAATTGCAACTACCCCTAAGGTTAAACATGGTTTGAGTGATGGTACCAATCCTAAACTTCCACCCTTAGGTGAGGTACCGATCCCTAGTCACATACCCTCACCAGGTTATTTACACCACCCGCCAGGTCTTATGTCATCACCTAATTTTTTTAATAGCTCTGCTCTGTTTCATCAAAATAACAACCCTACCCCTATAAAACTTCCAACTTTTAGTGGTAGTGAGCAAGCTCAGAAAGGTGAAGTGAGCTATGACGTTTGGTCATATGAGGTTAGGTGCTTAAAGGGCCAGTGGCCTGATCATGTTCTTTTGCAGCCAGTGAGAAGTTCTCTGAAGGGGACGGCGAGAGAAATTCTGATTCCACTTGGAGAACATGCAACGGTTGAGAACATCCTCATAAAGTTAGACGATTTTTATGGGAATGTCTGCACACCCGAAAACATCATGCAGAAATTTTATTCGGATCATCAACAAGAAGGTGAGTCAATTGTTTCCTACGGGTCTAGATTAGAACAGTGTTTATCAAAAGCTGTAAAAGTAGGTCACATTGATGTAAATGCCAAGGACCCAATGCTTAGATCAAAGTTTTGGTCAGGTCTAAGGAGCACGCAGTTAAGAAATGCAACAAGGCACAAGTATGAGACTGTAAAAGAGTTTCACTCTCTTCTGAGAGAAATAAGACAGATTGAACAAGAAGAAACTAGTCTGAAATCTGTAAATTCAGTTACCAAATCAAGTGTTGCTATGTCAAGTAATGTAAATTCATTGACAATTCAAAATTCAGAACTGCAAAATATGCAAAAACAACTTACAGAATTACTTTCTCAGATGAAGAAACTTGATAGCAGAATGGGTAAAATTGAGCAAAGTTCAAATGCAAGTAATCGAACTCAAAGAATTGGTTTTAATAATACAGATTCTTTTCAGACAAATACCTCCAACAATACTTACCACAGAGGAAATTTCCGGGGCAGGAATAAATTTGTCAACAGAGGCAGAGGAATGTATTTCCAATCTCAGAATCAACAGCAACCGCCAAACCAGCAGCACCAGATTCAGCAACAGACTCAGCAACCATGGCAACAGAGGCAGTTTGCTGGTACAACACAGCAGTCTGGTAACATGAATGGGTTTGGTACAGGTAGTACTTTAAACTAGTTTCATCTCCTGTTGCGGGGCAAACTGGAGATTCATTTCAAAATAGCCCTAATTCTACCAAAAATTCATCCAGTCTTTTGTACAGGTTAGTTGGAGAATCCAATGAATCTGAAATTATTGTCAATGGTATAAAAACTAAAGCTCTCATTGACTCAGGATCCATGATAACCTGTATATCAGAAGAATTTTTCAGAAAATTAAACCCTAGGCCTGAGTTACATGACCTTTCAGTATTTGAACTCAATGTTCAGAGCGCTAATGGCAGTGCTTTGCCATACAGCGGCTATGCAGAAATTGACATATGTGTACCTTGCTTTGGTGAATTAACATATACTATTCCTGTTCTAGTAGTTCCCCAGACAAATTATTCAAGGCAAGTACCCATGATTCTTGGAACTAATTTCATTCGCTTTTACAGGAATGCTTGTAATCAGAATTCCACTGATTCAGATGATGTTCCAGAACAATGGAAGATAGCATTTGACAGTATGAATGATGAAACACCAGTGAAGACGACTAACAAGTATACCATTCAGGTGTTACCAAATGAGACAAAAGTTATCAGAGGTCTGGTAAGAAATAACCATGGTATTGTATCAGCTTTGACTGAGCAAACAAATACTTCATTATCAGGAGGTCTCATTGTTTGTCCTAGAGTTATTTCCCTTACCCAGGGTAAGCATACTACTACTATTCCTGTTAGGGTTTGCAATATTTCAGCCTCTATTGTACATATACCACCGAAATCACTTTTATGTTCAGTAAGTGGTGTAAAGGTAGTGGACTCTTGGAATCCTGAAACACAGGATCAAGGTATTAAAAAACCCAGAAAGTCTTTGCAGGAATTGGACATCAAGATATCAGAGGAGAACTTAACTTCCAAACAAGTAAGTGAGGCAAAGAAGTTTCTCTCTGGTTGGACTCATTTATTTTCAGATGGACCAACTGATATAGGTAAGACTGATATTTTAAAACATGAAATTAAGCTTACCGACAGCACACCATTCAAAGAACCATACAGACGGATTCCACCTGGAATGTATGCAGAAGTGCGAGAACACATAAAGGAGATGCTGGATGTTGGAGCTATTAGACCATCACAGAGCCCATATTCCTCCAACATAGTATTGGTCAGAAAGAAAGATGGTAGTTTACGTTTCTGCATAGACTACAGGAAACTCAACTCCAGAACCATCAAGGATGCATACAATCTTCCCCGCATCGACGACACTATTGACAGATTGGTTGGGTCTAACTTCTTCACCAAACTAGATTTAACCAGTTCTTACTGGCAGGTTGAGATAGAAGACATGGACAAAGAGAAGACAGCCTTTTCAGTCAGCGGTGTTGGTCACTATGAGTGTAACAGAATGGGGTTCGGATTGACGAACGCACCTGCGACTTTTCAGAGGATAATGGAAAGATGTATGGGTGAGTTGAACTTGAGAGACTGTCTTGTTTTTCTCGATGACATACTCATATTTTCGCAAACGTTTGACGAACACTTGAACCGACTAACAGCTGTATTTCAGAGACTTGAGAGACATAATCTTAAGCTTAAGGCCAAGAAGTGTGAGTTTTTCAAAGAGAGTGTTACCTACTTAGGACATGTAGTAAGTAAAGCAGGTGTAGCTACAGACCCTGAGAAGACCAAGTCTATTTCTACATGGCCAGTCCCTCATAATATCAAGACACTTCGAACATTCCTAGGATTTGCAGGATATTATCGGAGGTATGTAAAAGATTACTCTAAGATCATTAAGCCTCTCAACGATCTTCTGAAGGGCCATTCTACAAACTCTAAGGAAAAAGGTAAGTCCAAAGTCAAAACACCACCATGGAGATGGGGTCATGAAGAAACCACGGCATTTGAGACCATTAAACAGAAATTGACGTCTCCGCCTATTCTTGCCTACGCCGACTTTGACCATCCTTTCATTCTTCATACCGACGCATCATGTAATGGTTTAGGTGCTGTTCTCTACCAAATCCAGAATGGTGAGAAAAGAGTTGTTGCTTATGCGAGTCGTGGGTTAAAGAACAGTGAAAGACACTACCCTGCACACAAACTTGAATTCCTTTCCTTAAAATGGGCAGTTACCGATAAGTTTCACGACTATTTATATGGTAACAAGTTTGAAGTAGTGACTGACAATAACCCTCTCACGTACATTTTGACAACAGCGAAGCTCGATGCTACAGGCCACAGATGGTTAGCTGCACTCAGTAACTTCCAGTTCTCCATCCGCTACAGGAAAGGTACAAACAATGCAGATGCAGATGGTTTGTCTAGACGACCAAATGAGATGGTGGAAGTCAATCCCAATGTTGTCCAGTCTATCTGTAGTGCATATGTAGCAGATCATAAAAGTTGCCCTTATTTTGAAAATGTGTTCCTAACAGGAGAGGAGGATCCATTAACGTGCATGACTGTAAGTACTAATGTACTAATGAACTCAGATAATTCAGACAAATCAGATCCCATTACTAGTGAAACTAGTGAGTGTCATTCTGATGATGCTTGTGTTTTTTCAGACATTGACTGGGTTAAGGAACAATCGTGATAGAGATATCAAAAGAGTTATTCAGCTTGTTGAGCAAGGTTTTTTAAGATCAAATCTAAGAGAAGAGTCGGAAATTGTTTGTAGATATTTGAAAGAGTTTGACAAATTAACTTTAGAAAATGGTATATTGTACAGAAAAGCTATTTTACAGAATGAGAATATTAAACAGCTAGTTTTACCAAGTCATTTCAGAGAAACAGCTTTTAGACTCTTGCATACAAACCTTGGACATCATGGACGTGACAGAACCATTCAGCTCATGAAAGAAAGATTTTTCTGGCCCAGAATGATCCAAGATATTACAGAGAGAATCAAGAATTGTGACCGCTGTGTGAAGTTCAAAACTCCTGAGAAGATTTCTGCAGAACTTGTCAACATTGAAAGTTACCAACCATTAGATCTTGTATGTATGGACTATTTATCACTTGAAAAAAGCAAAGGAGGTTTTGAAAATGTATTAGTAATTACGGATCATTTTACTCGTTATTCTCAAGCTTTTCCATCAAGAAATCAAACAGCTAAAACAACTGCTAAAATACTATTTGAAAATTTTATTGTTCACTACGGATTTCCAAACAGATTACACAGTGATCAGGGTAGAAACTTTACTAGCAATGTTATCAAAGAGTTATGTAAGTTAGCAGGTGTACAGCAGTCGCGAACCACTCCCTATCACCCTATGGGGAATGGGATGGTTGAGCGTTTCAACCAGACTTTGATCAAAATGCTAGGTACACTGGAAGACAAGCAAAAAGAAGATTGGAAATCTTATGTAAGTACTCTCGTGCATGCATATAATGCCACAAAACATGACAGTACCGGATATACGCCTTTCTTTCTTATGTTCGGCAGGCATCCGCGTTTAGCTATCGATGCATACCTTGGCTTAGACTCTGACACAGAAAAGATTCGCAGTCGTGACAATTATGCAAAGAAACTCCAGAAGCGTCTCGAGTTCTCTTACAAGATTGCATCACCTGAAGCTGAGAAAAGTGTTTCTCGTCACAAATTGAATTATGACTCAAAGGTTAGAGAAGCTACGGTACATATTGGAGACCGTGTTCTCATTAGAAATGTTGGTTTAAAAGGAAAAAATAAACTGGTAGATAAATGGGCCAGAGATACCTATATTGTCATTAATCAGCCCAATTCTGACATCCCAGTATTTCAGGTCAAAAAAGAGTATGGGAAAGAAAAAACTAAGACTTTGCATAGGAATATGCTACTGCCCATATCTTATATCCCCAAACTTTCTGAACAGGGTGAACATTCCCCCAAGGTGACCAAACACAAATGTGTTCAAAAACAGGAAAACCCCCATGGAGAGAATCTCTCTAAGGTTCATAATGGTACTAATGTATCTAAATGTATTCATTCTGATTCTAGTTCTGAGTCAGAAAATTCAGATTCCTGTTCATCTGATGGTGGTAACATTTATATTATACCACAAAGACGAGTAGGTCCTAGATCAGGTATGGGTAAGTCTACACCATTTAGTTCCATTCATTCAGAACATGGGAGCAATTCTGGTATTTCCAACACTAATCCAACATTTGATGTAAGTAGTACTTACAATCCTTCGACACTGAATCGTAATGTATCATCAAATTCTCCCTCTGTAAATATTAGTGTACCACCAGTTCCAAGAAGATCCACGAGACAGGTGAGAAAACCTGACAGATACGGTGAATGGGTACATCAGGTGACTCCAGTATATTTTGTGTAGAACACAGGGGAGAATGTCACATAGTTGATGTTCATTTTGTTTGTAAATATGTTTGTGTTTAATACTTGTCCTAACATGACTAAATGGACAATGTAATTTGATTTTCATAACTTTAAAATGTCAGGAGCCATTTTCCTTAGCAGGGGAGAATGTCACAGTTGTAATTAAATTATAATTATTATTAAATATTTAGTTTGATGCTTTGCGCAATATTTTGTGCGTATTCCAATTGGCGCGCATAGCCAATCGAATGCAACCGGTTTTGCAGGTATGTGAGAGCCATGTGCGAGTGTTTTGTTTTGTACAGGTGAATTTCTATTTTTAGCATTTCCTTTACGTATGACTGACCAGTGACCTACCATGGACCAATGGATTTCGTTATACTAATTAATATGCATGTTTTACTAACCCGTGCACTATATAAAGTAAGAAACCCGCCAAATCCCCACCCCAAGCTCTACAGCCTTTACGGCAGCAGATCATATAGATTCTATCACAGATCGATTCAATCGATGTACAGCATATAATTATATTTTCTTATTTGATACTGGATGCCTGGTAAGATGTTCATTTATCTTGTAATTCATTTACTTGTTTAATTTATGTAACGATCTACCGGCAGTCGTTTGAACATCTTATTGAATTATTACTTTTCGTAAATGTTGAAATGTCTTTATGTTTCGTGTTTGTCTATGTGTACTGTTTTGTAT